TTTTTTTCCACTAAAAAAAAAAAAAAAACAAAGCCAAGCAAAACCAAATTCCCTCCTCCCCCACTTTTTTGAATAAAAAGACACTCTGCACCTTCTCTGTGCTGGGGCCTCAAAGCCTGACTCAGTCCATCACCATCTACCTGTGTCAGGTTCCTACAGGAAGCTGAAGTGGCTCAGATGGGGCAGAAGGAAAATTCTGCCATTTTTTACTGGGAAAGAGAGTGATCCTCAGCCTCCTGGAGAAGCTGTGATTTTTTTTCTGGTAAGGAAATACCAAGAGCCTGAGAGCTTTAAGGATGAAAGAGAGAGATCAGAGGAAGGGAGACGAGGAGGGCTGGCCTCTAGCCACACGGGGGCCTGACTCTCTTGCCCATGCTGAAGTTTTGGAAGGGAACTCAGTGCAAACCTGACTAACATATATATGGCTTTTTATCAATGCTAGGGACAAAAGGTGAACAGGTATGGGACACAACTGGGCATGGGGTGGAAAACCTGGCACAAGGCTGGGATTATAGCTTAAGTGCTTGCCTAACATGCAGGAGGCCCTGGGTGTGATCCCCAGCACCACAAAATAAAATAAAATTGATGAAACACTGGTTGGTCTCCACCCATTTCAAATGAATGGCATTCACATCTTGACATTCACCGAGAAAAATCTCTCTGATGAATGGAAGGCTGAGGCCTCCTCGCACGTCTCGCTGGGCCGCTCTGGCAATCCATAAGCCAAGCACGGAAAGCAGAGGGCCCAGGGAGCAAGGAATAGGAATGGAAGGAATCCCACTGCTCCCCTCTGTACCGTCTCAGAAAATCTCCAGCATCTGTCCATCATCCTTCCCTTCTAACCACCCCCTTCTTACCTGGACCTCAGGGAAACTAAGAACATTTAAGCCTTCCTTTTAACGTTCTCTGGCTCTGTATAGATAACACGTCTTCAGACAGTGTTGATCCACTTAGACGCAAAGAGAAACAGAAGCAAAAGCATCATGGAGAACAAGGGCCCATGAACCGTGCTGCTGAGACTCTGGAAAGGGAGAAAGTGTGTGTCCCACTGGTTGGGGCAAAGATCCAGGAGCTTAAGCTTGGTCTTTCAGGGTAACAGGACTTCTGTTGCTTCACAGTTCAATGTTCATTGTCAGCAAGAGTGAGATCCTGGGACCGATGGTCCCTGTGAAGAGTCTAACCAATCTAGGGATAGTTCATTTCCACGAATGTCCCAGAAACCCCACTTCTGGGGAAACATGATTGACAGGAGGAAGTCTGTGACGGCATCAGGGGTCTGGTTCTAGTTCTGGACACATCCAGTCCCCACATCTTGCTGCCTCCCAAATGTCCACCCAGAAGAGTATGAGGTCTTCCGGCCTCTGACTGGGATTCTGAGCCTTCTCCGCCATCTGGTAGACCATGTTCCACTCAGACAGTGGACTTTCTTCATCTCCTCATGTCCCTGAAGAGCCTTCTCTTCCCACAGAGGATCACTGTCTATGGCTCATCCCAGGAATGAAGAAAAATACTCAGACACCCACACAC